AAATAGAATACCATTCAAACTAAAGGACAACAATCCATTAGATGTCTCAAAATGATACCTTATATTATCCAAAGCGGATACTAAAATAATATTTCTAGAAATAGAAAGTACGTGATAACAGTTATGTAGTTCCAATAACAAGCCCGTAGGCAAAGATAAACAATAAGTCCCTACAGCCAATGTAACCACATGTGCTCCATTTCCAACTCGTAGGTCCACCTCTCCCTTGGCGAGCACTCTACTCTACCTTAGTCCCTGCACATCAGTACAAATGTGAGTACCACATCCTGTGTCAATGACCCAAGATGTTGAGGGAGAGAAATTAATCTCAATCATAAAAATACCTAAAGTCGTAGCCTCTGACTTCTTCTTGCTTGCGAGGAAAGCCTTGCAGTGTTTCCTTCAATGGCCACGCTTGCCACAAAAGAAGCAGACTACCTTGCCCTTCCCTATGCCACTCTTAGGCCCAAGAGCAACCTATCCTTTGGGCTTGGGCTTGGGTTTGGCCTTGGCCTTACCCTTGTCGTTACCCTTTGCTTTACTGGCAGCAACCAGTAAAACAGGCTTGGACTTTTTCAAGTCATGCTTTGTAGTCCTCAACATGTTCAGAAGTTTTGACAGGGTTTTCTCTATCGTGTTCATATTGAAATTCATTACGAACGGAGCATAAGAGTCAGGCAAGGATTGCAGAATTAAATCCATTTGTAATTCTGCATCCAAGCCACATCCCAAAGTCTCAAGCCTTTTTATGTGCTCGATCATCTTGAGCACATGAGGATCAACTTGGGCTCCCTCAGTCAGACGACTCCCAAACAGTGCTTTCAACACCTTGTACCTCTCATGTCAAGCATTTGTTTCGTAAAGCTCCTTGAAGTGTAGAATAATGGAAGAAGCATCCATATTCTCATGCTGCTTTTGCAGCATAGGTGTCACGGATGCTAAGATCAAGCATTGTACACTATCACAGCATCATCAAGGAACTTTTGATAAGTATCCTTTACTTCCTGAGTGGCATCAGAATCAGGCTCAGCCATGTATGGCTTTTCAAGGATATACAATTTCTTTTCTAACTTGAGTATAATCTGAAGATTACGATACCAATCAGAGAAATTGGATCCATCCAACATGTTTTCTTTTTCGATTATCGGTCGCAGGTTCATAATGCTCATTTTGGTGAATCTACAATTGCAGAAAAGATAAAGTTATTATAAAGTTCATTATTATTTAATATGGTCTTTTATTAAACGATGCTCCCACTATTTTCTTAAGTCAATAGCCCTCACTATTAACTTGGGAAAGTCCGTTGACTTTCCTAGTGGACTGAGATCCCATCTGGCCCATTTCAAACCTTTGCTTTGGCAAACAAGCCAAAATGAGTTGATTAGGTAGGCCAACAAACTTAATCCACACCAGTTGATAGCTCATACTATCAACCCCAAATGCGAAAAAGCCAGTAAGCCAATCACACAATCCAATGGCTCCAACCATTGTCCTCAAGTGTGATTCTCAGTGTCAGTAGAGTGGACACTACATGTTACCATGTACACATAATATGTGTACTACTCTACTATGCCTATGACGTGTTTATCAACCTTCGCTTTAGCGAACAAGCAAAACCATCATTTTAAGTCGACCCATCACTATTAAGGAAAACTCCAATGCATTTTAACCTCCCACTGGTAGAAGTGTACCCTTCGCTTTGGCAAACAAGGTTTTGATGAACAGTGGTTTGATTAAAACCATGGTGATGGAAGACTTACGTGACTTAATATACTTTAATTCAGGGTTTTTATTTAATGTCTCATCAGATCATTACCTTTGTTAGAATGACATTGTTTGGCATGTTATTCAACATTCAACCTTAGCATGCATTCTAAAAACAATATTAAAACGTACAGGTACATGGCCCAACTAAAACCGATTTCCTTGAGCCTAGAGGAATTGGTGGATCACCTAGGGGTCTTGTAATAAACATCTTGAGTCTTCAAGTATGGTTGCCTAGTCCTTTGTTCTGTCTTCAAGTACATTACAAAAACATCATTCTAAATTTACAATAAAATTAATCTTAAACTATTTTACGTCAACAAATTTAGAAACCTCGATTTACATTCGCGAGGAATGAGATGAGAAGAGAATGTACATTGAGAAGATGAGAAAGGCAGGACATGCAGACCCTATTTGATAAATTATACAACCATACATACCCAAAAATAATTTAAAACACTCACCATAGGTCTAAGGCTCATGTACTAGGCACCATGCAATATACAAACAAGGACATAGTATTTATTTCAAAAACAATCAATTTTTTAATCGAGTGGGTTATTTATTAATTACCCTCTTAAAATGTGTAGAATGATCATTGGCTTTATAGGTTAAAAACTGCATTTCAGTCCATTCGCGAAAAACACAATATTGGGGCAGTAGCCACGTTCCAGAGAGCACTTCGTCGTGGCGAAACCTGGAAATCCCCAATATCAACAGTTCACGTTTTTGCAGTTTTTTGTGTAATAACACGAATCCAAATCAAATCGAACGCACACACATTCAACCAGGACATCAACCAACCAATATAACATCCATCAACAAATTATTAAACCAATTTATCATTTGAATCATTCATCCAAAAGCAGATTTTGCAGATTTTTCAAAAATAACATGTTATCAACCAAATACATGTTATAGATCATACAATAAACTGTAAAATTTGATACCCGAGGCTCTGATACCACTGTAAGTGAACGACCCAGTTACGCAGCGGAAAACAAAAACATAAACTACATGGATCGTTCCTTAGAACCAAGATCCAGGTACAAAAATCACAATTTATACATTATAAGAATCTACAGAAAAAATCAGTTTGAAGTTTAGAAACCATACCCATGTTTGGATGCTCCTCCAACTTTATCTATGAATGTATTTGCTACTGACCCAAGTGTAGGATCGAACAGACGTAGTCCACACGAAGACAATCGCAAGGAACTAAAGAGGGATTTGCTAGATCCTCCTTAGCCTTAAGAAACAAAAAGAAAAATCAAAGAAGAACTTTGATTCTTTGCAAAAGCAAAATCTGGCATGGGAGAGAGTTTTTGGGGCTGGAGGTTTTTGCTTTTCAATGAAAAAGTAATGAATGAATAAGAATCTCTAATTTTTCAATGAAACATTTTCTTTTATAGTGATCTTTCAATTGTCCTATTCCCATAAGGAATGGGCTTGGGCTCCAACCCAAACACCCCATGTTTCCAAACACTCCCAATTAGATATTTATTTTAATTCATCATTATCTCAATTAAAATCCATTAATATATATTTAATATATAAATTAACATTTAACAATAATGATCATTTATTTAAATATACGCTAACACATATTTAAATGTAATTTCACTTATTTGATTTTTCTAACAAATTAAATAAAAGGCTATGACATCAGCAAATTGAATTGCACTGTGAAAGTACCAAAATACCATTTCGCCTAAAAAGACAAAAACACCCTTCTTACTTCCTGAGTCTTAAATTGTCTTCTATGTGTGTGACCCATAGGCTCCTCATCATACCGGTAGTGTATAGTATTGCAATTAACACCAATTAATCGTCTTACTAATACACAAACCAAGATTGGCCCCTAGCAAGGCATCATGGCCACCCGATAGATTCGGATTAAACAAAGCAGCTACCTGTCAACGATATGGTTACCATACAATTCAATCCTTTCATCATCTGTTATCTCGACAAGATGAAGGCATAGAAATAGTGTCAACCTTCGGTTACTCTCGATATTATATATTCAGTTTCTGGACCAATGACATGTATTATAATCTAGATAGAGCAACAACTCAATCCCACTGTGGCCACAATTTTAGTGTCATTGCCATATACTGAATTGTGCCGTGAGATAACTTCTCCCGTACCCGAGAGTGATGAATCCTCTGTCAATCCACCATAGTCTTGATACACTCCTTGATGCAGCCAATCACCGCCGTATTAACAGCTCTAAATAGAATTGCGTTAGGCTAGTGTCAAACTGCACCAATTGGTGCACAAGGCGCTCCGATGATCTCAAGTCTAAGGATCACACGCACCACCATTCGTTAGAGGATTTGTTCCATAGACACTGGGGTTATCATCCATATGGAATCCTCTAGTGGGTCAGTCCAATGAACTTGGTGCAGTATATCTGCCTACAGCAAGCACCCATATGTTGCACCAAGTTGTCACCAAACAATCTTGACAAGTGAGATCAGTCCCTACCTTTCGACAGGGTTGTTCAACACTATGATAGCCTTATTGTATTATCTGTGCTCTTACTTCAGAATAATACTAGGGCTACCGACATTTCTAGAATGGCCACCATATGTGCTCATAGGGTTCTCACTATCAAGATTTGAAACACTTGATACCCTCGTCACGGTTCCACCATTCTAAGGACATATATCAATACTTATTGCAATAATAATGATTTACACGATATAGAATAAAATGCCTTTTATTGATTAATGAGCATTATTACAAATAGTCAATTTTATAATAATTGATTGGCTCTAGGGCATCTACTCTAACAGTCTTTCTCTCGAGGTCGTCCAGATGTATCTGCACTTCATCAAACTCTTCCATAGATGGTTGATCTGGCTCGGTCAAAAAGGTTGGATGGGATTATAATTGCTATGAACCGTTACCCTTGCCCTTGAAGGCGTTCTTTTAACAATCTCTGGAAGCTTTCGGGTCGCCCTTGATTTCTCATACTCCCCATTTGGTAGGAAACCTAATCGTTTGGTGGAAAGTGGATGGGACCACTCGCATGTTGTGGATCCAAGGTCGACCCAAGATAACATTGTATGGTGAAGAACAGTCGATCACTAGAAAGATGGTCTGCTTGTTTACTTCGCTGGCGTAGATAGGAAGGACAATCTATCAGATGGTGTACTTCTGCTCAAAACTGAACCCAACCAGTAGGGTCGACCTTCTGTTGATGTTTGCTTCTTTCAGACCCATAGTCTTCACTACTTCAAGAACAGAATGTTTGCTGATGATCCCCCGTCTATGAATACCCTCTTGACCAGAATGTTCGCAATCTGGAGAGCGACAACTAAAGCATCATGGTGAGGGGCTGCCAGGGTGACCGGCTCATCGTCTTCGAACTTAATTACCTGGTGGGAATGTGACTGAGAGGACGGGTGGATAGATTGTATTTCATGGTGGCTATTGGCTCTGGCGTAGCGTTTGGCTGAGGAGTAACTTACCCCATTGATCTCTAACCCTCCTGAGATGATATTGCAGAATCCTTTTGGCATAGGTTCCCGCGGAGGTGGAGATTTTTCGTTCGTGCTTTTATGGCTGATAGTACTCTTCCCTTTATCTGTCAGCAGATCTCGGAGATGTCCTCTCTTCAATAGTGTGGCGACCTCCAACCGTAGGGCAATGCAGTCCGGGGTGTTATGTCCATGGTCGCCATGGAACTCGCACCACTTGGTCATGGAACTCGCACCACTTGGTCGTGTCTCTCCTTGCTTCGTCATATAGCTTGCCTGGCCATTTAACACTAGATCCCATTCCTTTCATGATCGCCACCACTTGGGCTGGTTCGACATTGAGGTTGTACTCTGGGATTTTGTATCGGGTTGGTCCAGTTGGTCTGTTGTCGATTCTAAGTGGCTGGCGATTATATGGTTTTCTTACTCTATTCTGATTACGAGGAGGGGATTAGTGACGGGGTTCAATCGATCTGAATTCTGGCCTTTTATCATTCCGCCTTAGGTCATACCTAGTGTGTACTGCCCGATTCATCTCATATTCTTCCCACCTTATCTGAATCACTGCTCTGGCCAAGGCGTCCTCCGTCGTGGTGCAGCCAAGCTTCGTCAGCTCTTTGTATAATTCTCCATCTAGGCGTCTACTATTGTCTCGGGGTTGCAAGAAGGAATGGAAAATTTTTCTTTGTTGCATATGTTGACGTACTCTCTCAGCGGCTCCCCCTTCTCTAGTTTACTCTGTACAGGTCGGCTGATGGTTTCTCAAGTTTCTCACTGCTGGCAAATTGCTCCACGAAGGTGTCAGTGAGCTGTGCGAATGAGTCAATGGAACCGTTTGGGAGATTGGTGTACCACTAAATAGCTGGACCAAATAAACTTGAACCAAAACTCTTACACATGCAGGCTTCTCTTAACACTCGAGGTATTGAGATAGTGAACATTTGTTGCTTGTACGAGGCTATGTGATCATCTGGGTCAGTTTTTCCGTCATAGGGCTTCATGCTAGGGATAGTGAATTTGTGGGGCATGTCGGCTAGCGCGATCGTATCCACGAAGGGTGAATCGGCGTAGCAGTAAGCCTTACTCTTTTTAGTGGGGATCGGCATTCCCGGTATATGCCTCATCACTGCCTCTATGTCGGCCAGTCTCTTGGCCAATATCTGTTCCATGGGAGAGGGGGACACCGGTAGGTCATCCCGCTTGACTTGGTCGGTCAAAGGATTCGCACTCGGCACCTTTTGTTGGGTCAATCAGCATGGTGTAGCTTGGTGGATTATTCCTTCGTGTATTGCTTGGTAGCTTGGATCACCGTTCATTCCCTCTAGTTGGGTGACTCCCACTGTAACTGATCAGGTGTTTCGCCCTACATGAATTGTCAGGGGGGTTGTTTGGTACTCGGTCGTCTAGATGGACTCGAAAGGGATGGTTTGGTGTGGGTGACCACTCGACCCGCGAGGGTGAACCGAGTCGAATGGAGTTTGTGTAGGGATGCTTGACTGAAGGTGTGGTGGGATGGCGAGAATGGGTGGTTCTTGTTGTAGTGGGCTTTCTGTCACTTAGACACCTTGATCTTGTGCCTGAGGCAGATCAATCGAGTGGGGTTCCATTGGCAAATCCCTTTCTCCATGAGTCAAGACCGAATCGTCGACCATCGACGAACATAATTGATGCGACCTTTTATCTGAGGCCATGGGTCTGTGCTCTAGGGTGTGGAGAGGCTGCATAGATGGCACCGAGGTGTGGAACCGATTGGGTGGTACTTGACAAGGAAGAAACTCAAGATCATAAAACTGACTTACCTTCTCTTTCAGAGACTGGTTTTCGGCCCTGATAGAGGCATTTTCGGTCTAGATGGTAGTGTTCTCAGCTTCCAATGCAGCCACCTTATCTGAGTTCTACTACATGAAGGTAGTCAGAGCTTCTAGTTTGGCCTCGAGGCCAGGGTTAGCATTATCAGAATTGTCAGCCATGGAAAGTTCCTTTACGTAACAGGGTTTGTTAAACCGAATGATTGCTAGAGACCCCATGGTGGGCGCCAAACTGTAGACGTAAAAATCTATCTGTGCGAAAGGAGGGACTAATCCCTTGAGGTTGAGGCCCCTAGCGATCTGTTGTACCTGCACACGTAGAGAAACAAACATGAAGCGACGGAAAACACTAGGGTGGTGTTTGCCGTAGGCACTCCGACGCTCAAGTCAGCAAGGCTGAAAGAGGCTGATTTTGTAAGGGCTAAGAAGTAGAGAGGATACTAGAAGTCTAGTCGAGGACTGTGACTACGACTGTAATGTGAAGTTCTCAAGCGGGAACTTCGAGGTCTGAAGGTGTAATGTAATCTGCCATGTGAGACGGCTGGCCTCTGTTTAAATAGTGATTGTCTGGTCTCCCAATCCTTGTGGGATTAGGAGTTCGTGATCCGTTTCCTCCAAGGATATATCTTTTGGCCTCATTATCCTGACGTGAAGGGGAATCCAAGTATGACTCTGACACGGACCTTGGAGGAGTTGGGATGGTAGTGGATTACTTTATCAGTGTTCGAGTAGGAATGTGATCCATAGGTGACCGTGGGCTCTGAATTCGATCATAGGTCTAGGAAGTACACTGGGATTAGGAGGCATGTGTCCAGATGGTTTGGACCGACTGTACTTCATATCAAATGGGCCTTATCCGAGGAGTTTTGGCCTAGGCTGCATCGGGATTGGGCCTGGGCTTTTCCTCATTGTTAGATGTGTTATCCCATTTGGGCCGAGGATATTTTTTTGCCCTAACAGATACCAAATCGGTCATAGGTCGCACTATTTAGACAAAATGTTATACGAATACAAGTTGGTACAATCGGATATTTTTATTTATTTGATAACTTCATGTTTTGCAAACAGTAAGAATAAGAGACCTTGGATGATTGAAGCCCATTTTCGATGAAAAAATTGCCTTTATACTTTGTGAAGAAAGTGACAGATGTGGTTTAGGGTTCTATCTTCCTTCTGTTCTTATATATATAACTGTTTTTAGTATAGGTTTAAAATGATTGGCATATAAAAAGGTCTTAATTATGCGACATAAAGAACTTAATTTATCGGGTTAAGGTTTGATTGGACCATTATCTTTTATATACCTGCCCAATAGCTTTAAAATTCAGAAAAGTTTATATAGTAATTACCAAAGGATCATTTACTTTTTAGAATGGTATTGTTATTTATTTTTGGGAAATGAAGATTATTGAATAATGTTTCCTCTCATGTTCTGAATTGCAGGAGAAATTTTGAACTAGACCGTAGGAGTAAGAACTAGACTTTACAAGTTATCATTAAGCATTCATTAACAAGGTTCATTAGACCATACATGAATCAGCCCCATAGATTAATTGTGCCACCATCAATTTACAACTTAATTAACAAGCATTACTGGGATATGTTTGTTGCGATACAGCTAATCAAGGATTGAATTGTATGTATACACAACCAAGATTTGATTTTATTCTGTTTTTTATTAATTAATTAATACTTTTCCATGGTCTTACACTATATGTAATCTTTCTTCGTAGAAATGAAGTGAATATCAACAGAACCAAATACAACCACAAATTGAGTCTTAACAGTTACGGTGGTTTAAATGTCAATTAAAAAGGGAAATTTTGAAGAAAAAGGAGGAGAGGGACTTAAATTCATAAAATCTTGGAGGCCAAACAAGGGTTTTTCCCAAATTATCAGAGCACCTTTCGGTATTTTGGAGATAACTTGAGATACAAATATCAGAATCACTTGGTACTTGTGGCTTTGGAAAGCTAAATCAGAGGGCTAAAATTCTTATGTTTTGATGTTGCCCAAATAAGTAGGAATCAATGAGAAAATCATGACACAAGCTGATGGTCTAGAAAAATAGGAGATTGGTGAAGGAATTCATGGAGCAGCCATCTTCATAGTTTTTTCTTCTCGACTTTCCTTTTTTTTCAGTCAATGTTTTGTCAACTTGAAATTATACTTTTTAAAGCATAATTAATAGAATTAAGTATCAATTATAGCTGAAAATATATGAAAGTATCTTGAATCTGATTAAAATTCAATACAAAATCTCTATAAAAAATAGGATTATCAATAGCTTTTGGCTATTTTTCTAGAGGTGGGAATTAGGCCTGTAAAAAATTCAAAACCCCCAATTTAATATAAAATTAACAGTAAATATAATGATTAAAATAAAATTTTACAAACATTATCCAAGACTGTCCCTGATTATTTGGGCCTGGACCTTGAGGGCCCAAGCCCAAGGCCGACATCTATATTTTTTAAAATATATAGGATGGTTTGTGAAGAATATGCCCAAACTCAAAATCCAATTAATAATTTTTGACACATGCATGAAAGGAAGCTTTTGAAATCAACTAAAATATAGTGTCATAATGATTTCAGACATAATGCAATGGCTGTAATTTTTTTTTTTTCTATGTTATTGTCGATATATATTCATGAAGTAGAAAGATGAATGAATTTGAACCATGGTGGAGCTTCTTCTTAGTCTTTTCCCTTATTAGCAACTTATTAAAAATGTAAAGTTGACAAAATGTTACACACAGTTTTGAAAGTCTCTATCTAAGCGTTTGTTTTGATGTTTTTGGGATGTTTTTGGGATGATGTTATGTGTGCAAGGCAAGAACTTGAAAATGAGCAGTTTGAAATTATTGGTTTCTTTTTTGTTTAGGAATAATAGACAGGAGTTAACTAAGATAAATTATAGAGGGAAGGAAACGGACCCACCCCTGATTTGATAGATTTTCCAAATAAAATAATATAAGATGCCATGAAAGAGACCTGGATTTTTAAATGCTTGGTTGACGTTTAATGAATTCGCATAAAATTGCTAAGATAAAAATGTAAGAAGAAAACCTTTGATTTGAAAAGTAGGCAAATTGTCCAAGTAAGAGTTCCATGGACCCAAGCTCCACTGAATTGTATGGTCCAAAGAAAAAGAAAAAAAGACCAATTATATGGACCCAAATTAAGAAAAACAGATTTGAGACACAGAGAAAGAGAAGGTTTATGTTGGGACCTACATTTGAATGGCTTTGCCATTCATAGTGCTTTCTTTAGGTGTTAGTACAAAAGAGAAGCGTTTTTGTTACGCACGATAGACACACAAGGATATTGCAAAACAATGAAGAAAAATCGAAAAATATTGGATTGGAAAAAGACATAAATAATGGTCAATAAAAGACACCAACAAAAAGGAGATAAATTTTTATTCACCCGTGAGGTTTCGCACAAATTGTAATACAC